CCTTCCCTATCGGCCCGGTCTCCTTTCTGATGGAATTGAGCTGCATCCAGGCCAAAACGAAGGTGTCCTTTCTGGAGGTGGACGCTTGGTCGCACATGCTTCGAGTTCGCACGCTGTCTCATCCAAGACTCATGATTCGCATGCAGGTTGCCTGCAGGGTTTGGCAGGCATCGTGACATTGACGAAATGGTGTTGGATTTTTTCGAAGAACGCGGATACTTCAAGACATCAATGCATGTCGCGTTGGCAGACTGTCACTCTTTGAAATTCAATATATTGTAGTTTCCATGTTCTTTTCCATTATCCACATATATATATACATATATGTACTCAGTATACTATATAGTAGTTTCCATTGAGGGCCAGCTTTCAGCTACACCCCGGGCAGTCATGACCGATTCACCACTTGCAGACGTGAAACTGTCCTTCATGAAATCCTTGCCTTCAGAGCGCCCCACTCTGTAAGGACACGCTGAAAGGACTTCCCGTGAAGAAGGACATCTCAGTAAAGACAATCGACCCGTATTTCGCCGCTCATATTCGCGATGCCACTTGACACCTTCAGCTCAAATATCTACACGCTAGATCACTCTCTGCTATGCGTGGGCAGTTTAGGCTGGCAAGTAGACTAGTCCTAGATGTAGTCAGCAGGCAGCACAATGAAGCAGCAATGACGTTTGTGCTATGTGTGAGGATTGCAAAGGACGTTAAAGTGACATGCATGTGCTTGTCCTGCAACACCAGTGCGGCCTGCCTTCACATCTGAAGAAGGGCTTACCAACCTTTGCAATTGCCCTGAACAGTTGCAGGCCTCACTAGCTCCCTAGCCATGGAGCCTTAGCTTATCCAAGGTTGACGCAGCCTTCTTCGGCAAGTGAGTCCTCGTTTGTTGGCTGAGCTGCCAGCATCTGCCGCCAGGCATAAACCTGCTTTTGACCAATTGCTCGGCTGTCCTTCTTTGGTTCTTGGGTGCCACCGGCACATTTACCGCGAGAAGAGAAAAATCCTACTGCTGCCAAAGCTGAGGCAGCTGCAGAGACCATGGCAGACCGGCAACAAAGTGAGCGTGGAATGTCTTGCAAACTAAACTCGAAAATCTCACGTATTCCCAGCACATGGTCTGGCGACAACATCTTAGGCGTGTCATTGATCCAGATTCAGCAGCATTTAATCGGAAAGTCTTTGCACAGCGTCACATCTGTTTTGCTAAGTGGCCCCCAAACCCTCAACCCTAAACCAACGACAGTAGACCGAGTCACTGCTCCAGTGAGATCTGGGATGCCTCGTTTAGATTTTTGGCCGTATCACAAACATGGTTACCAAGAGATGTCCTAGCACAAAAGAGAGAGAACATCAAGTGAGCTACAGTCTAAACTCCTTAAAGGGGGGGTATTATGTAGCGGAGTATTATAGGGCTGATTATGGGGGATACTGGGAGTTTAGACTATAGCTTACGTGGACCTTGGGATGCGCTGCCGCCTTTTGTTGATGGCTGACAGACACTTGAAGCAAGGGCTGTGTCTTTGCATGTGAGCAGTAGTCAAAACTCCTTAAAGGGGCTTATAATGGGGGTTATATAGGGGAGTATTATAAGGCTGATTAGGGGGGCTACTACGAGTTTAGACTACAGCTTATGTGGTGCTGTTCCTGCATCTGTTGCTTGCTGCAGCCATTGTAGCAGAGACATGAAGATACCAAGATGAGCAATACTTGTTCCCAGTCAGCTATGAGTTATTGATGGATGACTTACCAGCTACAGCAGGGGTGGAACCGCCTCCAAAGTTGAAGACACTGGGATCGCCATGTCGTCAGTGGGCCTCCTCATTGCCCGATCTTCCGAGAACTTTGAAGATGTGAAGTCAGCTTACAGCACACTGCTGGTCCACCAGCAAAGTATCGTCATTGCTTCCAAGGGAAAAGGCCTGGCTTCTCAGAGAATCATCAGACACCACATGCGGCCACGCGTAGCCCTTTGTGTTCAGGTGCGAGCGTGCGCACGAGCTCTTTGAATTTGGTCCGGGTCCTTGCTGGGACTGCTGTTGCAGTATGGCCTGAGTAGGCTTGCTATGTGAACTATAGTCTAAACTCCTTAAAAAGGGGGATATATAGGGGATTGTATAGGGAACTTCTATAGGGGATATTAAGGGGGATACTAGGAGTTTAGACTATAGCTCATGTGTTCAGTCAGTGGCATGTTTGGGGAGTGCTACTCGTAGAAGCCCGGCTGGATGCCTTCATGCAAGCAAAGCATGCTGAACGCCTATAGTAGCATAGCAATACAATTGCTATATTCCTACATTCTTATTACATTACTATTCCAACATTACTATATTACTATGGTACTATATTCGTACATTACTATATTAACTAGATTTCTGCATCATGATTTTACTGTATTGCTACATAAGTTGTTCAGCTAGGCCGCCTTCCTTACCTTTGGTTAGCTAGGAATGAAGGAATGGATCCTTATAGCTTCCATGTTCTTTTCCATTATCCCTGCATAACCCCAATACATACCTTTTTATAATCCCTAGATAACCCCTATAATCCCTTGTAGGTTCCATTTTCTTTTCCATTCCTCCATTCCCAGCTAACTAAACGCCCTAAACCCTGAACCCCGCCTTCAGGTTCTTTCGACTATCGGAGTCGGGGCCTTGACATTGCCTTGGACCACAGCTTCAGTGGGCTGGCTTCAGCAGCTTGGCCTTGGGTTTAGGGATTAGGGTTTAGGGAGGGGTCATATGGGGTTATATTAGATACATGGATTTTGTCGGACAAGACATGCACAACCGCAATCTATGCAAGCTGGTTCAGGAGTGGCATTCTACTAGTGACGTTCTTCTTCGTGAGCTCTGCCTGCAACAGGTTGCAGTTGTCTCTTTTTGCTTCCAGGCTACACGTGCCTGGCTAGTCCTTGTCTTGTTGATCAGCTTCTCAGCATAAGGAGCATCTACAACCTGTACCTCTTGGATGAGGTCTGCCGCTCCCTTGACAGGGCCGCAGATGCTGGGCAGCTGGGACAAGGTTTGGCCATGTTTCAGAGTTCAAACTCACGCAGGAAAGCACCCTATATACCCGAATATGCGGGCAGTCTCTGATTACTGGAAATCCCATACGGGGAACACACTTAGGTCCTACGCAAACATGGTGGCTGCAGCTTTGGGTAAGCCTGGCGCGCATCCTGGCGCAAAATTGCAAAGAGCTGCTGGATGTCAATGCTTGGTAGGGCTTGGGTAGTTCCCCTGATACCCCCCACCCCCGAAAGATAACACGAAGAAGTACAAGAACAATAGGTATGATAATCATGTGCCTCATCAAAGGTACGCACTGGAGATGTTCATGCAGCTGGGCTTCGAAACACGAGTTGAGAGGGTACATCATGAATCACAACATACAAAAAGAGGTGCTCCTGTAGCCGAAAACCAAAGTAGGCCTAGGTTGTTTGATGGCTTGCATTTCCAAGTTTGAAAGATGAAGGCAGGGGAAACCGCAGTTTGATCTGTTTGCAAGGCTCCTGTACAGCTTTGGACTGTCTGTGTCCTACATGGGCGTCGTTGGATCAGAGGTGGGGACGTCAGATAATTTAGGTGCCCCAATACCTTGACAGCTTTTGTCTAAGGTTAGAAGTATGGGCCCCTAATACGGGCACTTAGGCCTTGTAGGGGAATTCTGGAAACCCTTAGAGGTACATATTATGTATATAATAGGCATATAAAGATCCCAGGGTTAAGGGCCCATACTAGGGGCCCATGGTTTCAACCTTGGATTTGGAGTACTTGTAGGACAGATGTTGTGAAGGTGGCTGTCTTCGTGGAGCTTGCTTTGGGAACACAAGATGGCGAGGCTCTGCAGAGGCCTCACATACAAGCTTGATCGAAAGCTTTGTGCAAAAGGCTCACTAGAATAGGTATTGTGCTGCATGCTCACGATGCACACAGGAATTTGATTTCGGCTGTGGCAATCTTCGTTGTGCTCCCACTTTCTCTCCTCCCGGACGCTTTGCTGGGATTTTCCCAACTTGGGGGACCCCAATATAGACCCCAAATCCCCTAAAGGTACCCCAATTTTGGGAAACCTCAAACCCTAAATAGTGGCTTCCATGTTCTTTTTCCATTATCCCTATATAACCCTAAATATAACTATATAACGTTAACCCTGCTTACCCCTATATAACCCCTGTATTACCCCTATAGAACCTTACATAACCTCATACAACCCCTATATAACCCTACCCATTTCTACCTAACCACTGGACGATTGCAGAGAGCCCTGTATGCCTTGAAGTTGAATCGAAGCCTGAGCTCAGGGTACAAGGTCTCCCGTCAGTCTCTAAAGTCCCTGAAGGTTAGCATATTGCTGTAGATTATTGTACTATATATGATATACTATAGCATATTATGGTATATTACATTATAGTATATTATACTATGGTATAGCATTTGCATTTCGGAGTTTGAAATAAGTTCTCAGGCTCAGACTGATCATGTGTATTCAGCAGGGCCAAAAACTTGCAAGAAGCTAGTAAGGACACGTTGCTACGTCTATCTGGTGCAGTGGGAACCTTCTGCACCTTGGCATGACTTGAGCTACATCAAAACTCCTAGTATCTCCCCTATACCATAATCCCCTATCTAACCCCCTTTGGGGAGTGGCCAGGTACTGCAATGATTAGTGGATTTGCAAACGACCTCAACGTAAGCACAGGCAAACGTGCTCATTGTAGGGCGTGGGATGTAGGATGCACAATCCTCAACGATTGTCATGGAAGAGTTCAGAAATCTGCGTGATAGCTCATAAACTTATGCAGTGCATATGCTATAAGATGAGAGCTTCAACCCCAAAATTAGGACCCTAGAACTGTCAGTTGACCTTTATGCCGTCCTAATTTAGGAGTTGCGGTCATCGGATCACCAAAATCTTTTCATTTGATTTTCCGATGTTGGGGTAATATCACTAAACTCTGAACTCTACATCCTAAACAGTAGTTTCCATTTTCATTTCCGTTATCTCTGTATCACTCCATAATCCCAAAATATTCCTATACAATGCCTTGGGGTACTAGGGAGCAATCCAAGGCATGATCCTGACCACGATCATCGTAGCCGCTTGGATGTTTTCCGAAGTCGTGGTCCAAACGTTCAGACTTGCTTTGCTCTGCGTTTAGATGGGGTTTCTGAAAGGGGGATTTCCCTTGATGGGGGTTCCCATAACAAGGACCATAATAGTTTGGGGTACACAAAGGGGATGCCCATGGGAAACTACTCCCAGGTATGCATGGTTCCCTGGAAGCTCTCTTGGCCCTTTGTGGCTTTCTGCAACGATGCTTTGGCAGAGCACCTGCATGTAGGCAGGACTGGGCTTCTCCTGCGGGTCCCTCCACTACCCCACTGTACACTGCCCGCCAAGGTTCTCCCCCTAATTAGGCGTGTTAAAGGATAATGAAACCTAATAAGGGGGCGGGGCAGGGGGGTCTCAGGGGAACCGATGATTCTCCTGATAGGCATGGATTCGAGTGCAGAATGGGACAGATGACTTGACAGCTGCTAGGATGTGGCAAATGTCTTTGCTACATGCAAATTGTCATTTCACATGAGGACCCCTAAACCCTAAACCCTAGCTACCTTGCAGGCCATCTGGAACCCGTTCGATGGGTCTCGTCTCCTAAAGCGCTTCTCTCCGCGGTGCCCATGTTCAGCTTCTGCATGAACGCGCCGCGCCTGGCAAACTCTGACATATAGGGTTTAGGGTCTAGGGTTTATTGGGATTAAGGATTAGGGTTTAGGGTTACAGATGAGAATTGTACATGATGGCTTGATGCAGGTGGTAATACCCCCTGCCTTGAAATTAATGAATACCCCCCAATATTGAAGAATTATATAATAGGGTGACTTACTGGTGGTTAGTAGGGAAGAGTAAGGAAATACAATCCCTATTTAATCTCTTTACCTTATTTCCTACTAACCACCAGTAAGGTGAAGGTTAGTTTCGGGGGATGTCATTGTGTCATATATATATATATACACCCTTACATTATATAACCCCTGTAGAATCCTTACATGATCCCTAAACCCTAAATCCCTAAACCCTAAATCCTAAATCCCCAAACCCTAAATCCCTAAACCCTAAATCCCTAAATCCCTAAACCCTAAAACCCTGAATCCCTAAATCCCTAAAC